TATGCGTATGTATTGTGATACATAAATAATATATTATTTAGTATATAAGTTAATAATACCAATGCATACATAAATTCAAATTGTATTTAGTTTATCGTTAACACAAACCGTGGAAGTTTTGCATTAAGATCACTCATTTTATGAGTCAACTTATAAAGTCCTGATAAACCACAAAGACTTAGGTCTATTCCTATTCTGTTTTAAATTAATGTTGAAATTGGTACAATAGATAACCACAATACACATTCATGAGATGTACTAGTAAGTAATATATTTTGCCTATACAAATAAAAATATTTAAATCATGTTGTTATTATTAGATACAAAATTTCTTTCCAAACTATATTTCCAATATCTAGAATAGTTTTTCTATCGATATAAATAAAATTTCCATTTTTATTTTTGCACCTCGATAAAGCCACGTACAATTGACCATGAAAAAATAAAGGATTTTTCAAGTATAATTCCACTTGCTCGAAACTTTGACTTTGAGATTTGCTTATAGTCATAGCAAATGCTACATTTTTTATATAAAATAAAAGGTAACGATATAGTATTTCCAGTATTTAATGTATTTTTTTGGAATAAAAACTTAATTATCAATTTCTTCTTCCGTAACTATTTCGCCTTCTACATTATATTTCAACAATTTAGTGATTCGCAATCATGTACCATTACATAATCCGTCTTATGTACCCAAATTTTGAACTAACATAACTACTGTACCTATTTTTAAATTAAGTTCATTTAAAAAAAATATATATCATATATGGTCCTGGAAATTCCGGAAAAATTAACTAATATAAGACACTCATTTATTACTTTCTGTCTAGACGTAAATATATTTTTTTAATGGCTTGGACAGAGATTGCATCTGTATTACTACCAAAACGTATGACCAGTCATAGAACTTTTCGTTTACCTGGAGACTTAAATAATAGTGAGAGTGTATTTTTAGAACTTGAAACTAAAAAAAAAAAATTAAGGGAAGTTGATTTAATTATATAGGACGAGGCTTGTATGATTCCGAAAAAGTCTCTCGAAATCGCTTATAATACGTTGAGAGACTTGCGTATTACTAAACTTTGCTTTGGTGATGATTTAATAGTATTAGGAGGAGATTTTGGACAAATCTTTCTAGTTATGAAAAAGGTAATAGAACTATGATAATAGGAGAAACTATTAAATCATCATTTTTATGGAACTGCTTCAAAATTTTGAGATCACAAATAATATTCGTTCTAGTGTCGAAGAATTTCCAAAATTATTGTTAAGAATTGGAGGAAGGGACATAGAAAGATTTAATATTCCTAAATCTTGGATACTAGATGATGTCTGTACCAAAATATTTGGTAATTACAGCAACTGTTTTAGTAATAACGTAATACTAACTTTACATAATAAATATACTTTTATTAAAACAATAAGATTTTAAGTAAATTAAATGGAGAAACTAAAACATATTACAGCATCGATACTGCAACCTATAAATGTGTTGATGAATCAGATGATAATGTTTATATCAATTTTCCCATAAAAATGTCAAATATTTTTACATTATATTGATGTTTATAAGTGTACCCTGTAAACTGCAAATTTTAGGCTACGGTTACATACAGCGAAAGTAGCTAGAGTCACAGTAGAAGAAGAAAAAAGTCTCCTCATCTCCGTTTTAATAAAAATACGTATTCACGCTATGACTTCCGTTACTGAGTGGAAAAGTAGTGTTGAGTAGTGTTGAGATGTAATTCACAATGAGGAAGAATCAAATAATTAATCACCAGAGGGCAGCATGTGTTTGTGAAGTACTATTTCATACCGCTGGCATGTGTATATTTCATACGATGCCAAGAAGTGACTTGAAATTAAATCAAATTATAGCATACTGAATGAAAGATTACACACCCGTTGGTGATTAATATAACAATTAAATCTGATGAGGTTTTTTACTATGCCAATCACGATAGCACATACGTGCAGCGTAACACAGCAATGCAGAGCCTTTATACGCGCCGTTTGTCAGAATGGTTGTAAAATATTCAAAAAATTATCTTATTTTTTATTTAATTTCTACCAAGTCAATTAGTTTTAACCTTCCTCAGCCACTATCTGCTACTTCTGAGCTCCGAAATATGATTTATCCAATAGTGAAGTATTTAATCGATTCAAACGTTAGGGGGTTAGCGTGCGAAGCGTGCAGGGGGCAGAGCCTCACTAGTGTATATATAGGACTTTGCCTTTCTAAGCGCTCCGCGTGCTACCCTCCCCCCCACCGCTTACGTTATAACTTTATTTTTTGCAAAATAAGCTTTGCATTAATATTTTATAAAGCCTTAAAAAATGATAAAAATAATTAGTTGTATGAAAAAAATGTTAAAGTATATATGACAGAATTCGTAAGACTACGGCATTTTTCGAAAATATTCGGGAATACATGTTCTACCCTGGGGAATGATTACTGGGCTGCTTTCAAGGAAATATGAAGAACAAGCTGCTAATTTCAAATAACAGTGGTAAAGTTTATATAGAATTGAATTGAATTGAATTTATTATTAAAGAGCTAAGAGCAGAGCGCTCTTTATAGCTCGGCTCGTTACATATGATTTAATACACTTTTAAGGTTAATTACTAATTGACACTGGTGTCATATGCACCAACAACAAAGAGACTGTACATAAAACAAAAATAAAACAACAATAAAAAAAAAATAATTAACCATATAAATAAATAAATTAAAATGAGCCAAATAGGCAGACGAGAAGTCTTTAAAAGCAACAATTAAGTACACACAGGTAACACACACATAAAATTTACAGGCACGTCCCTTAAGAACCACAGAAGTGGTCCTGCCGCAAAAACTCAGCCAGTTTCCTCTTGAAACAGGGTCGATTAAACTGCACACGAATGACAATTGGTAGGCGATTCCAGAGTTGAGCAGCGTAAACTCTAAACGAGTCACTGTAGAACTCAGTCCTCGTCCACGGGATAACCAGATCCAGGGTATTTGCTCTTTTAGAGCCTGCAGCATCAGATGAGCGGAAAACCATCCTTTCAGATATATACCGCTGCTCACCAGATTTAAAAATGCTACAAAGCAAGCTAACACTCATGTAGTCCCGGCGAACACTGTAGGGCATGAGATTGAGGCGAATGTACGTGGGCGTGATGTGCTAATTCTTCTTGAGCCCCGCAACAAATCTAACTGCTGCGTTCATAGAGCGCTGCATTTCCACCAGCAGCTTCGATGACAAGCCAAGAAACAGGCAGGCAGCATAATCGTAGTATGGGAGGACAAGCGATCTTACAAGCAGCAAACGCATTTCAGGCACGAGAGAGTCACCACACTTACGCAATCGAGAAAGAGCAGCGTAGCACTTCCTACTGGTCTCCGTAATCTGCTGCGCCATAGTCAGAGGCCCATCAAGGATAACTCCCAGGACCCTAACTGCATCGCTGTACTCAATGAAATTACCACCTACCCAAACCTTTGGTGGATTAGAATGACGAATACGGCTGACAAAGCCACGGGAGCCATATCACGCAACCTGCGTCTTCCCCGAGTGAACTTCTAGGGCACAGTTAATGCCCCACAGACCAAGCGCATCAAGGTCCTCATTCATATCGCCAACCAAGCGAGGCACTTCGCTGTAACGTCCCTTTATGTACAAAGTGAGATCATCTGCATATATATGATGCTTGCAGTGTCTCAGCACAGAAGGCGCATCGTTAATATACAGCGAGAACAGAAGAGGGCCCAACACACTCCCCTGAGGGACACCCGCCCTCCGAAACAGTGGAGCCGATCTTCCGCCATCATCGTCCAACACCACCTGCTGTCTACCGGAAAGGTAGGATCTAACCCATGCGCACGCTGAGTCGGAGAATCCAAGTCTCCCAAGCTTCACCAAGAGCAAGCTGGCATCAACACAGTCGAATGCCTTTGAAAAATCGACAGCGACAAGCAGCGTGATCAGCTGATCGTCCGCAGCCTCTCTTATGTCATCGACCATCTTTATAAGTGCAGTATGTGTGCTATGATGCTTTCTGAAGCCGGACTGCAAGTGATCGATAAGGTCACGGCGCTGGATGTATTCAGTAATCTGCTCGGCAGCGACAGCTTCCAGAATTTTGGAGGTGGCCGACAAAAGAGCAATAGGTCGAAGTTGGCCAAGGTCAGTTGGCTGTCGACATTTAGGAATCGGACGTACAAATGTCATTTTCCACGTATCAGGAAATACTCCCGACTGTAATGAGCAGTCGAATATATGCAACAAGACAGGGAGAATTGTTGGAAGACAGCTTCTAAGGCTCCTTACAGGTATACCATCCGGGCCAACAGCATTAGACTTGGCCTTGGCGATCGCCCTCAATAGGCTCTCCGGCGTCACGTAGGAGAAGTAAAAGCGGTCTTCAGGAGAGACCTGCACATTTGGCCATAGACCATCAGAAGGCGCAGGGCGGAAGCAACCAATAAAATATTTATTTATTTCGTCACAGCTAGCGGGGAGCGCAATTCTCTCTCTGCACCTCGAAGAAGCGCCCATCTCACCCACGCATCTCCACATTTCGGTCGCACTTCTCGATTTAACCAATCTATCCCTGTAGTAAGTTGTCATGGCCTGATGCGATGCTCGGCGTACATGACCCCGTAACCGCTTGTATGCCGCATGATCAGATTCCCTTCTATATCTCCTGTACACAGTCCACGCCCTATTTTGTGCCCTGATCAATTCGCGCAGACCATCAGTAATCCAAGGTGAACGCCTCTTCCGAGGGGTGAACACTTGATATGGGGCATGTACATCGTAGAGCTGTGTAAGACGCTCAATGAAACAATCAACCTTCCGGCTAACATCCAGCAACCCGTGAAGGTCACTCCAATCCATGGTTTGAAGGTCATTATTGAAACAAGCAATGTCAAAGTCACGGAATGATCGTCTTGTCACTAAGCGACTAACACTCCGTGGGATTTCAAACAACAGTGAAGCCGACAGGAAATCATGTTTAGATATTGCAGGATAAGGCAACTGAGTGAAATCGCGAACACGGTCAACATCACTTACACAGATATAGTCAATTGTCGTGTGCGAATCACCAATGTGATGGGTTGGCAAAAAGCAAAGAGGCTGAAGGCCACACACCGTCAAGGAGCTCCGCAAAGTGCGGCAGCTCGAAGAATCATCAGTCCAATTAATATTGAAGTCCCCAAGCAGCACCGTAAAATCATAAGGCACATTGCAATTCATAAGAACATCCTGAATGTCAGACCAATAGAAAGAGAGATGTGCCCTTAACTTTTTTTTTGATAAGCTTTATTATTCCTTCTAGTGGCCCCCTTTTCTAAATTAACTGTCTATCCTATATGTGTCCATAGATATTTCTAAGACCTCGTTCTAAACACTTATTACTATCTCTGCCCCCTGCGTGCTCTGCGCACCAACCCCCGTCATTGCAAAAATAGATTTACGAAGTATGAAAAAAAACACAAATTATAATATTTTTTACTTAAAATTGATACATGTAATAAATGTATATTGATCATAATTAACTACATGAATTTTTAAGAATAATTTCTTATTTTCCCTGACTAATGTCTAATTTTTATATATTTGAAACGACAGCGTATGAGAAGATTTCAAATATCTTCAAAAATTAAAAAATTACGGTATTGTTAGAATCACAAATTGATTTTGTTTCAACAGTATCGTTAGTTGATTGTTGTTTTTCTTTCAATTTTCTATAACTAAAATTTTGGCCCATGGGTTTTTTTTTCTTCGTTTATTTTTAATTCGTTATATTCGTTTAAAAAGTTACAAAATGTCTAAACAAAAATGTGACAGTGAATGAGACTCCCAAATTGCAACGAAAAAAAAATGTTTTCTTTTACATCTACATAGAACTTGGAGTCTAAATTTAAAGTTGGAAATAGATCTGTATGAGAAACTTATTACTATTACTACTGTTTTTCAAGAAATAAGAAAATTTAAAAATAAATTTTTTTTCATCGATGATCCTGGTGAATTTGGAAAAACGTTTCTAAATAAAACATTAATTTATTACTTCATATCAATTGAAAAAAAAATCTTACAATGGCTTGGACAGGTACTGCTTCTATTCTACTTCCAAGAGGAATGACCATTCACAGAACTTTTAGACTTCATTTGGACTTAAGCACTATATAAAGTGTGTTCTTCCAGTTTGAGCCAGATAAAAAAAAATAACATAATGTAGAAGTAATTATTTGGGATTAAGCGTCTATGATACCAAAAAAAGCGTTGAAAATCGTTGATAGGACTTTAAGATATTTAGCTGGTAATAATAAACCTTTTGGAAATAAAATAATAATTTTAGGTGAAGACTTTTGTCTAATTCTCTCAGTAGTAAAAATCTGAAGACAAATTGCTATTGTTCAAGAAACCATAAAATTTTCCAATTTTAGGCCTTTGTTTGATATTTTTTACTTAAAAAATAATATATGTTCGATTGATAAAATATTTTCTTCGTTGCTACTGGATATAGGAGAAGGCAAAATTAAAACCTTGAGAATTTCTCAGACATGGAAAACAAATGATGTATGTCCTAAAAATTTTAAGAATGATGATTCTTTTGTAAGTAAAGCTATATTAACATTTCACAATGAACACACATTTTTTGAAAAAAAAATTTTAAATAATATGGTAGGAACATTAGTAACGTATTATAGTATTGATAAAGCAACTCACAAAGAAGTAGATAAAACACAAAATATTATTTATATCAGTTTCCCTACAGAATATTTAAAAAGTATTCAACAAGGTCTTTCTCCACATATATTAAATTGAAAAATTAACGCTATTGTTATGTTTATATGAAACTTAAAAATATCTGAAGGACTTTGCAATGGTACAAGATTACGAATTACAAAATTATTTAAATGCAACATTAAAGTTGAAATAATCGCAGGATAAAAAAAAAAGGAAATAAGGTCTTTATTCCAAGAATAACACTAAATACAAACAATTCTTTTTTGCTACCATTTACATTGCACAAAAATTAATTTCCATTTACCTTAGATTTTTCTATTACTATCAATAAATCTTAAAGTCAAAGTTTTGATGCCTTAGGATTATACCTTAGAAAACCATGATTTTCTCATGGGCAATTATATGTTGCATTGTCCAGATGTAAATACCCAAAAAAATTTTTATCCAAATTAAATCAGAAAACAAATTTAAAATTTAAAATTTTGTCTGGAATGAAATGTTAGAGTAACAAAAAAATTATTCCATAGTTTATTACTATTTTCGTACTTTCCTGCAAAATTGTTTTTTCATCAAAAAAGCACATTACAGTACCTCTAGTATCCAGATTTATGATGTCATATACAGTCCGTTTTATGTTATATGTTTTCAGATACACCA